TAAACTACAACAAGTCTTTACTATTGTGTGTAAAAATAAGCTTGAGAAATCATATTACCCAGTTTTGCCCAGTATTACCCGTTTCTGGGAGTATTGCGCCCGGGTAATACTTTACTAACCCTGGACATATTGCTATACAAAATATGAAAAAAGACATGACAAGTATGTACATAATTATTTCCTAGATGGAGCCTTTAATAAGGAAGGAAGCATCGTTTACAAAAAAAAAATTGAAGTCGAATTAAAATAGATTGAAACATTGACTGAGTAATACGGACACTTTGCTATAACTCATGCCTGATAATATACATGTAGGAGTGTTTCCACACGTTTTTGGTCAAAGTCTGATTTCACTTTATTTTGAATAATATGACATATATAGTTGAAACGTGTATCTGTCAGTCTTAATGTTTAGAACTTAAGAAAAATAAATTATGTATACTTTTGTTTTTAATCACACTAAATAGAAACAAAAGTAACACAGTTTCAATGATGCACACAAAAGTCGTGAAAGGACAGTTATGGTGATACTATTATATTTATTTAAAGTAGGTTTCTTGTGTTACTTTCCTGCAGTAATTAGAATTTTTTTTTATTATTTAAAGTAGAAAAGTTCATCCGTCCATATAGAAGAAGATGAAATATCTTGACACTTTTTTTATGGATCAAACTAAATAGAAACAAAAGTAGCACAGTTGAATATTTGCACACAAAAGTCTGCATCATATAACCGAAACAGATAACTTTTTTTGTTTGTCTTTATTAATTTCTCTGTGCAGGAATGATGAAATATAAATGAATATATCATTTAAGATTAAAAAGAAAAAAAATCATTTTTCTTATATAAAGGATTCTCATGTATGCATACCTATTTGTTTAACACAGACAATTTGCCACTACACATCCATGATATTGCATCAATATTGTAATCAAGTCAAATGACAAAATTTATTCATCTTTCCTGATTGATCTTGCGAAATGGTTCATTCATAATTCCATTTTACCGTATCAAAGCCCCTGTAATGTTTTCCTGTAAAATTATTGCCAAACGATCGGAACGGTATGATCATTTAGTTTGAAGTTAAAACATTTACAACAGTAGCACGAAGTCGTAGATAATGACAATATGAGTCTAACAGACTACAAGTACAAATGTATGAACCTCTTAAAAGAATGCATAATAAAATTGATAAATACTTTAAATGATGTCCTGCAGCTAGTATATGCTAGAATTTTGCATAGATTATTCATGAAAAAAACACAAGTTTGTGAATAAAAAAAAACTATGCGAGAGAATTTTGAAATAAAATATTAGAAGATATAGTTTTTATAGTATGCTTTAAGAAAATAAGAAGAAAAAATGGTGTCGCCGATCTTGTTTTCTTGCTACATGTAAAAAATACAATTTCTTCTACATTCCGTTATAGAATTTTTACTATTAGACATGTTAGAGTTATCTCTCCTTAAATGGCTAAGTAAAAATATTTATTCGAACAAAAAACATTTTTTTGTTCTTGATAAAATATTGTAAATAGTACAATTAATTACTTATCTATTCTTTATTTAAACAAACAGGCTTACAAAGTAATTGTCAATCTGTCTCAAAATTTGCAGATTTAAGCAAAGAACTAAACCGATTGTATACTACCAAGATGACGGTATACAGTGTATCTACCTTAAGAAAATATTGCCAGTCAAGGTCGTTAAAAACTTCCCTTTGTAAATCTCAAAATCAAGTTAAATAAACAAAATCGCATGAACTGATCAGTACGGAACAAGAACAGATGCACTGACAGTGAAGGCGTCTCCTGCTATGCATGCTTTACCCGCTATGGGAATCCACACTCAGTTATGATACCACAATCAGATACAGGACACAATCGGTAAATTTTCAGAGGAGTATTTTTGGTATCTAAAAATCTAAGACGGTTCATATCGGTCAACCAATTTGTTATGTTGACCGTAAAGCTTTTGTAGTGTTGTTTTCGGTTGTTCTTCTTTATATCTCTGATGAAGAAGTTGTTGTGTCACGAGCACATCCACGTTACAGAAGTACGTATAGTGTGCACATGTATATTCGAAATGTATTGATTGAGATAAGATAAGTTAACACCATACAATGTGAATTAACTCATCATAGATAACAGGAATAAAAATGTATTCGCCAGACCCGTTTATGGTATAATACTGCTGAGAAAGTGGAAGCTAACAAATTGAAGTCATAACGTTTTTCATATGTAGCTTGAAGTCGTCCATCTGGGAATAAAAGATAAAAAAAATATGCAGACCCTCTAGTTTAGTTGTATCATCAATCTCAAGTTCAACTGGAATATATGATATACCAGCACTGATTAATATGTGGGTTATTGAGTAACAGGACATCATTAATATACATGCACTAGCTTGTATATGAAAGTAGAATTTAAGAACTTTGCAACATGATTTTTTCTTTTTGTCTTTGTCCTTTTGGTACAAATGCAAGTCGGCAAGAAGGGTGAATTATAAATACCCATTTGAATATTGACTGTTTGTTGAAATAGCAATCCAACAAACTCAACAAATATAATGTCGATCAAAAAGTTCAGCATTTTGATGATGTTGTTGTTGGAATCAGGCCGTTTTTTTGACACAGTAAGATGTGTCATGACCTCAAACAAAGAATTGGTACCTCCTATTTCGTGAAAAATGTTCTCTTTAATGAGACGGTGTAATTACCTTTTCAATTGAGCTTGGGGAACAGTAGTTTAAAGCGTAGAAAATTACACAAAATAATTCGATGGTTTTTCCACCCCAAGGCAAAGATGTAGATATGGATTTTTTTTGTTTTCATTGCCAATATTTAATCGATTCTGCCGTCAAACAGTTTTGATTTGAGCGCCAATAATGAGCGTTGTATAGATAAAAGGTACATCTTGCGTAAAAAATGAATAGGCTGGTATCTTTGAAAATTTCTCAATTGCTGACATATTTCAATAAATATGCTAGTGCGTGTTCACACTATACAGACTTAATTAACAAGGGGGTGCTCCTTACACACAAGATAAACAGAGTTATAAGGAAACACTGAAATCGACACTACATATTTATACATACACCATCACGAATTGGTAGACCGACACTATGTATTTGTGTCTCAACTCACTAGCGATATGCCGTTTTTAGATGATTAGATATTAGAACACTAAGTAGTCGTCTAATCTGTAACTATACAGACTGTGTCATATTCCCGATTTTGACATTTTGACTGCATTCGGATTCGCATGGCGGGTGATGTATGCATAGCATATTACGCTTGCTATGTCTACGTCTCTTTTTGTATCTTCTTACTCAATTTGAGATTTGAACAACTGTAAACTACAACTAGTATTGCGTAAATTGTTCAACAATAAATTTACATAAAACGAAGTTTTATACGTATTATCCACCTGTTTAGAATATGAAATTAAATGTTGGTTGGTTGAGATCTAACAGAGCAGTTAAACTTCGGTACCTCTTTATGTGCATGTCCGGAATTAGAAAAATCATAAGCTGTTGTCTTATATATCATATCTAAATGTTTTTTAATCATTTAGGGAATTTGGCGTTGATAGCAGAACTTTTATATTCTTTCAGATCAGTTTTTCAGGTCTTTCACTTTTTTAGTTGTTTAATCACAAATCAAGAAGTTTGTTTTCTCTACAGTGACCTATAGTTGCTTACATACAGGTTATTTTGTCTCTTGTGGATAGCTGTCTATCACATCATACCACATTTCCTTATTTTTATATTTTGTGGGACAGAATATACATTCTTTCACAGCTTTCAATGCCAGTTTTATTTCAGATCTTACTTTCTTTTCACTCTAGTTGTTATTTTATACCCCCAGTGACTTCGTTAAATGTCGAGCTTATCTCTTACTAGAATCTGGTACAGTAAAACTGTACCGTTCATGCTTTAAATATAATATATTTGAAAATGTAACTCTAATACAATCGGCGAGAAGCTGATAAACTAAAAAAGAATGAGAACCTGAACCCGTTCCGGAAACACCAGTGTCATTTTCTAAAGATATAGTCAAACCTGTGCAAGAAATCAGCGCACTGCGTGAGGGAGATACGTTCCTTAATTTCAAATGATTGCCTACAAAATTGTAAAAGCAAATTTGAATAAAACTAACAATAAAATAATATTCTCATTTGCATGTAAGTACTTAACAGCTGGCTATAGCCAGCTGTTAAGTTGGTGATACTCTCGGGACAAACAATCAACCACCAGAGGTATCGACCGAGTAGTAGTAACACCATTAGAGGTACCAATTTACTAAAGCAGATGTACATTATGACCAGTACTGTCTATTCAATGATGTTCGTGGCCAAAATATTTGAAAATCAAAATTCTGAATTGAATGAAAAGCCGATAAAGCCACAAAAAAACATGTACAGCTTATCCCGGACAAGAAATTAGAGATATGCATGAAAGAATTTAAATGAAAAATTATTTCAAAATTTTATTATAACGTTCATACTAGGCTGATGATGCTCTCGGAGACTCTCGGTCTACCAGTAGAGGACCCAGTGGTAGTTATAACTTTAGTTGTAGCGATTTAACTGCACCTGATTGGCATTTCGACAATCAGTTAATGTCTTTTCGGTGATGCTCGAAGCTAAAATAACACTATAAAACTTTTTCATTTATTTAAAGTAACCCCATAATGACTTTTTTTTTAATTAGTCCTTATGAATTCAAAGATATGTTGGCTAGTCCTTGTGAATTCAAAGATGTTTTGGTTACACATAAATACAACAATTACACAACAACAAAGAAGAACAAAAAAAGACATTTAGCATCCCAATACGACCTTCACCGATAAAAATGAATCCACACCGTATGGTTTTTACGTATGTCATTGATTTTGTTTTTTGTATTCATATATGTCACAAAACAAAAACAAAAAGTGTATTACAATTCTATGTTTGAATTTTACATCATACTTAATCTTGAATGTATTGAATGTTCTGTAATAGAATGAATTATTTTATTTAATTGAATAATACACAAATTTAAAAATATAAATTGTTTGATCAAGCTATAAAATAAAGATGGAATAGTCATGTGTTCAATATGGAGACCTGGAACATTATGGTTACCCCACTAGGTCCAAAACATGTATAACATTTTGAATCTCAAGTAAAAATGCCTGGTAATTGCATACTCAATTTTTGTACTGAAAGACATTACCAAAATTTCCTGTTGAATATAGAATTTAAGGTGTGAGTCTTTGTTTTAAATATATAGATAATGTGCTATTTATTTTCCTTTACGCAAATTACATAATTTTTTACTAACAATGAAAATTGGAACATGGTTACTTTACATTTAAACACAAGGAGGTGAGTAGTATATGTCAGTGAGGCAGCAACCTAACTACAAAAATAATAATCAAGATACACATATATTTACCTAAGATTCTGATATAAATAAAAAAAACATCTGATGTTTAATTTTATTTGTTGATCAAAATTTATTGGAATTTGGGGATAACGTTACACATCATCTAAATGGATCGAAAGCTAGTAGAAATGTTTGGTTTGGTTATATGCCAATATAAAAAATTGAACACAAAGGCCAATTTCACATTATAGTAATAATTGCAAGTGATACATCAGCTGACAGTCATGCTATATTGCAAAAGAGAGGCGAAAGATACCAAAGGGACATTCAAACTCACAAATCGAAAATAAACTGACAACGCCATGGCTAAAAAAGAAAAGGACCAACAGACAAACAATAGTACACAAAACACAACATAGAAAACTAAAGACTGAGCAACACGAACCCCACCAAAAACTTGGGGTGATATCAGGTGCTCCGGAAGGGTAAGCAACTCCTGCTTCACATGTGACACCCGTCGTGTTGCTCATATTAGTACAAACCCGGTAATAAGTGTTATTTGGTAGGTCACATTCGGGAAAAGGGGACCGGATTGTAGTTACGACATTAGGAACATATCCGCTATCATCTATGAAACCGATATTCCGTAGCGGTCAACCAACTCATGATGGCGTCCGTAAAATTTACGAAGGGATGATTTCAACTTCACCACTTGGAACTCTTGGTTTAATAGCTTCCATATGAGCAGCAACCCTCTATCAAGGAAATCATGATAGAAAATACAAGCCCTGGAGTATCGTATCAACTGAGAGATATATACTCCGTATGCAGGCGCTGCTGGAATGTTGCTACATAGAAATGGAAAGCTCACAATTGGGAAACTTTAGTCATAAAGTTTTGTTTTCAACCGACCTTCATTGTCAATTTCTAGATGTAAGTCAAGATATGAGGCAGACTTAACTGTATCTGTTATATCCTTTATCTCAAGTTCGATGGGATAGATGCGTTCAACATAGTCACCAAATTTTGAATTATTTAGTGAGAGAACATCATCTATGTAGCGGAAAGTTAAGTTAAAGGATACTGCTAACTTCTTTTCTTTCTTCCTAAGAAGTTCCTGTATGAAGTCAGCCTCATATGAACAAAGGAACAAGTCGGCAAGAAGAGGGGCTTATTTGGTTCCCATGGGAATGCTGATTGTTTGTGGAAAAACATGTCCTCCAAACGTAACAAATATGTTGTCAATCAAGGAATCAAGCATCTTGATAATGTCAGTTTCAGAGATTTTTTTGTTAGAATAAGTAGGATTTATCCCTCCCTAAGACAAGATACTTGTATCTACGTTGGCCATTCTTTTTTATGAAACAAAGCAAGACCAACTCTTTCAATTTGTCTTTTAGTTTGGAATAGGGAATACTTGTGTAAAGTGTAGAAAAGTCAAATGTTTTAATATTATTGCAAGATGAAAGAGTCTTAGATTGTATATACTCTAAAAGATCTTTGGAATTTTTTATTCTTCTGATTCACGCCACCTCTAGAATAGGTAGTTTCACAATAACATTGAAGCCAGGCTTTAATTGCTGATAAAATTGATGTTAATAATTTAGAAAGAGGTTTGGTGGCAACAGTAATCAGCAAAAATGAAACGAAAAAATTCTAATCCAGACGAAATAACATGCTAAAAACTAATATATTTTATCTTGAAAACTTTTAAAACTCAAAAGTTTGAAAATTTATTGATATTGCCGAATTACGTGGTGCTTGATTCAACATAAAATTGACATTGAATCTATCTATGATGAGTTTTTACGCTAGGATTTGAAAACAAATTTATCTTTTTGATGATGTACAAATACTTTCTTAATGTACGTACGTTTCTTTTTTGGCATACGATATAAACTAAAACTATTTCAGTTTTCCTTCATTTCCAATCGTACATGTAATGGCATTAATTATTTATCAAACAGTTGTTTTTATCAATATTGCCAAAGTACAATGAATATAATATACTTTTGCAAAAATCTAAGAGTAAAATCATAACAATTTAAAATTTGCTTCATTCTTTTTAGATGGACTGTTCATTACTATTCTGCCAGATATTTTCGTAGTCCTGGTCTTCTTCCAAGTAGTCTGTGTTTTCAATGTCATTATTTTGACCTGTATTTAAATAAAAAGCAAATTCTCCACTGATGTCATGTATTTGAATCCCCTCCTTTATCCTGGAAGTATTAGTTTTATACTTCAGTGTTACATCTTTTGTGTGAGGTTTTGGGCTTGGCTTTGGTCGGTGGATTGTCAAAAGTGGGGATGCTTCAACTTTTGATATTTCGTCATTTTTCTTCTGTACATGACCACTGCTAATCAGTTGAGGTTGTGGAGACGTTTCAGGCAATGCTTGTTTTTTGCGAGTTTGTTTAAGGTGTGTATTTAATTGGCGACTGACAGTTTTTCGTCGGATGGCTTTTTCACGGGAAGGTAAACGTTGTGGTAAAGTTAGTCTTAGTGGTATTGCATTCTGTGTCCATGTTTCTATAGCGCTAGTCGGCACTGTTACTGGACGTTGTATTTCTCTTGATGTCATGTAACTTACAGTCATGTTTGCCTCGCGTGATAACTCATTTCCGGTATGAACATTTTCGTACAGAGAATCTCCACCAAGTGACACTGGTGTTTCCGGAACGGTTTCAGGCTCTGGTTCAACTCTTTCAACTTCATACATATGATGTTCATATTTTTGTCGAAGTGTTTCAATCAATTCTTTTTTCATTTTTGAAATCCATTTCCTGATCCTAGAAACAAAAAAGGAGACGTCTAGAGGTTAAATAACATAACAATCAACAACAAAAAAGTATATGTATTACGATGTTGGAATTATGAAAGTTATACGCCTATATTATTTATAAGTTTGATTACATAAGGCTGAATTACAAAGCATTTTCTTTAAAAAGAATATATAAGTATGCCTTCGATTGATTTTTTTATTCTATATTATAACTTTGTGTAAGCTGACGGAGAGACAATATGATACCTTCTTAAACAAGATTTAGTAAAAGTATATGTTTTTAAAAAGACTTGTAGCTTACGAAATATTTGGAAACAAGACTATTTTCATATTTAATACCGACTTTTGACTCCGGAGTTTATAATTTTTCGACAGTTTGCTTACTCTGTGGTAGGAAATTCTGGTACTCAGTCAAGTAAGAGACACTAAAAGAAGTATAATCATGGCAAGCTTACAATCGGTGCAATTTGGGGGAAAATTTAACTTTTCCGATGAATTTGTCGTGTATAGAAAACATAAAATTATTTAGTAGGTAACCAGTCAAAAATTTATATACTGCAGAGTCAAAAGTCGGTTATTTGAAAAAAGTCTTAGGACCAGTATACTTTTATCTCGGTTCTTCTTGATTTCTTTATGCAGGATTGTGTGAGGACAAAATTATTTCAAATCAGTATGCAAGATAAACAGCAAAAATAGTTAAAATGCATATGGCAGAGTCATATGTATGCAGAATAATTGGCATGCTATAACTATAATATTGCATAGATGAATTTCAGAGTATTTTTCTCTCTTACACTAAAAAAAACATGGATTGAAAGTGGTACCCCTAGAAATTGAGTTTTCCACCCCTTTTTGCTCAAAATTACAAAAAATGTGCGTGATTGTCTGAAAACTAAAATATATTCAACGGTAGATAAAAGAATTAAATATAAGTAAAAATAGATTCAATGGATACAGCTATGTCATTTTTATGCACAACAACAATTGGTATCATAATTATCACAATCCCCAATGACTTTGTAAGTTCTGTTCTCGCTTTAGCTCACAAGCAGCATAACAGAGGAGATATGCAATTGGCACCCTCAACCAGTTGGGTAATATTTTTTCTCTAAATATTCAGCACAATATGAAAAAAATGGTAAAATTGGTCAATTAAGGGCAATAACTCCTTTAAGACATCGTTTGACAGTTTTAATGTATAGGGACAATTGGTAGAGCTCAACATTCTGAACATTTGTGCTCCTGTCAGATTTTCTCTGTCAATAACGGTTTTCAAAATAATAAACAAAACTTGCATTTTACCCCTATATTCTATTTTTAGCCATTTCGGCCGTCTTGTTTGGCAGGCGGGGTCATCAGATCTTAGAAAACAAAAAAGAATGGATCCATCTATAAAATAGAACGTCTGTTACAATTTAAAGTTCCTCTCCATGAACATTTGCAAAATTCGATTGCAGGCTAAAACTGTTCAATTTGCAGGAAGCTGATATAGCCTATATGTATCGAAAACGAATTATATATATTTAACTTACAAACATCCGATGATAATCAGTCCAAAAACAATCACAACCATGGAAACAGCCCCACTTATCTGGAAGAATTTTGCTCCTACAATTTATTTCAAAAAATAAATCAAACACTATCTTCATCATTTTTGCATATAAAAAAGTTTTCAATGACAAGGGACTTTATAAGTACAATGTATAATCATTTTCATCTTTGGCAAATCGTATCTTACATGTATCATTTATGTTTTGTACTGCTGACAAAAGACCTTTACATTAACAAACATGCATATAAACCGGGCAATAGGTAAATATACAGATAACTTTAAATGCTAATGAAAGTTTCTCATTTAGTCGCAATATTTTGAATGTCTAAAGCCATTTATGAGGCTTTACAATTCATCTTCAAAGAAATGCACATGAATATATTATGAAATGGCAATCTTGCAAATATGTCTACTATTATGTCAAAGTCCCGTCACACATCTATAAAAAGTCGAATAATGCACATAAATGGTCTTTGTAAGCACGTATTTCTTAAATTTAAATAATTCATAATCATCGTGAAAAAGCAAATAAATATATAAATATGTTAAAGCAGGCAGAGTTCAGAACTCAAACACAAAACAAACAAGATCAAACAGAACAAGTCAAAAAGGTGTTAAATGCAATGAGTTTGCTTTAAGTAACTGTGAGGATTCTTTGATATCTGTTTGATTTTATGATCTTGCACTTAATTTATAAAATGAAATGATTGAACCCGTGTTGTTTATATCAGAATATAAGAATCAAGTGCGATCCTGAACAGATTGTTATATGTACCTTTTGTTATTCCACAGATCAAATCGGAGAGTGGAATACTCAAAAAACGTATTTAACCCTCCCACATATTTATATGATAGTTATATATCAATGACCTGCCAGCCGTTGTTTTTAGTTGCATATTACTTTTTTGTCCTACACGCAATGTGGTTTTGCTACCAGATTTTTATTATTTCCTTTTAATTTCTTCAAATCTTTTCTAGACTCAGGGAAATTTGATATATTGTAAAATAGAAACTTTTTAATCCCATTTTTATTGATTTCTAGATGTCTTTTGGTATATTTGTGTTGTTGGGTTATGCTTAAATAATGTGTAACAGCTTTAATTCATTATAAGTGTGAACTGAAATCAACCAGTGTAAAGCTGGCACTGACAATTGATGCTCTGCGAAATGTTCATTTATTGAAAGAAAACACTTGTATGGTTAGAGGGACAAATAAAACATGTACTTGGATACTCGCGTCATCATCCAAAAAGATAATGAATAAGCAAGGGCTGTTTGTCTAGGGATTATAAAAGGTCAGATATCTATAAACCAAATTTGTTACCAATACTTTCACCAGATTCCCAATATACGTAAAAACTCGAGGCATATATATATTTATAAATATTAGACAATACAGCTCGTTATCATATGCCCAGCAAAAATATTTAAGAAAAATTAATAAACAATGTCATGTTCAATAGATTTCATCTTGAAACAAAAATTTTGAAGATTTTCATACTATGTTCAGCTTTCCTTAGCAACTATGACCATGACTTTGAATAAACTGATATAAGATCGATAGGCTTCCTACTTTGTATACTTTCGACCAATTGTATAAAATTTTATTAAAATCAAACAAGTGTACAAAAAAATGTATCTGGAAACATCACACAGAAACAACAAATTGAAATTAATTTTCTTTATTTTCAGTATATTGTTAGCAGCTATGGCCTTGACCTTTTGTCTTTTGATCTACAAATCAATAGAATTCATCAACTTCTCGATATCTTCCATCTATACAAGTTTCATTATAAACCCCAAAACTAAAGTGACCATTTCGAGATTAAATTTATTCTTAATTACAGTGACCTGGTCTTTGACCTCTTGACCCCAAAATAAATACGCTTTTCCCCTTCCCGATATCTTCCATCTGTACAAGTTTCATTTAAACCATTCGGAAGAAACTCATATTACCATCCGGCAACATTTTTCCCAAGTTTTGTCATTTTAGTAGAGTGACCTTGAACTTTTACCTATTGAACACAAAGTCAAAAAACTTCTTCCCTTTCCCTACATATTTCATCTATATAAATCTCCTTCTTACCAAGCAAAGGATTCTCAAGTTATCATCTTAAAACCATTTGTTTTAGACAAACAGACCGACAAAGACAAAAGAGGCGGAAGATATCAAGATGACATTCAAAACGCATAGGTCGAAGAAAAAATGACAATGCCCAAGCAAAAAAATAAATCCACAAACACGACATACAAAAACAATGCCTATATGCTCCCTATTTTTTTTCTGGTAGCATAATAAATCATAAACCTATTTAAAAAAATGCGATCAAATTATCTTTATTTTTTAAAACTCACCATCGTCGTAATGGCTGAATCTAGATTGATTTATTTTTGGCGTGAAATCATTATGGTTTAAAATATTAAGTTTAGATACAACTGTGCCATAATGATGACCTGAAAAAGTTGTCATTATGATTATCTAGTGACCCACATTTAATTACAGCAATTTTTCAGTAAAAATAACACTATATATGTACACACGTGTTCGCAGAAGAAGAAGAAAATCAATGTAGTTGCTATTCTATTTCTAAAATGAGAAAACGGAATATATCAAATATCGATTTGGTTAAAAAGAAAAATGATGAAAACAGTTCTTATCAGTGTTTTGTTAAGAATGTTACAAACATTTAAAATCTGATAAAACTGTATTTAAAAATTGACAAGAAAACGCTTTAACATTGTTATACAAAAAGAAGAAAAATGCTGTAAGTGCACATTTTAACAGATACAATTTAAATGTAATATGAAACATCGGATAGATTAACGTTCTCCTTTGATATAAAGCCATTTATGTGACGACCACATATATGGCTACTATAAGACATTTTTAAAAGTCAACCAATGTGGTGAATGACGTTTTCATCTTACGGTTTATCTGATTAAAATAACTAAAGCTTAAAATTCTGTGAAGGTATTTCAATTCGTGTAATCTAAACTGCAACAGCGAATGTTATAATAGTTTTCAAATTACTTTTCTGTAAGATGCATTGTACAATAATAAACTTTCTGAATCATAATTGTTTTCTTAAGCTATTGGTATATCGAAACCATTTCAATTTCGTAACTGTAACTTTCTCATTTTCAAAATAGCAAGTAAGGTGATGCATACTCCAGAAAAATCTTTAAATGGAAATTTTGTTAAAAGAGAAAAAAACAGTGTTACTTGTATTCAAAAGTTCCACACATACGTTTTCAATTATCTTTTTTTTTTATCCAACCAATTAATAACTTCTAAAATCTTAATTATTAAAAGCCGCAACTAAGGAACTTGTCGTCCCTTTTTTCTGTATAAAAGACTTTCTGCATCTTTCGCAAATAAACGCTGTGAAATGTTTTACACTTTTTTCTTCAAATTATGCTAATATACATTGTTACATGTAGACAATTGGACAATAGTTGTCAATATATATGGTAATACCGGCACACTTCATACTTGTAAATTTGTGCGCGATTGCATATTCCTATAATGAAATGAGTAAAGTATACTTGATAAGACATTATTCATATGTGGTGTCTCTCTTTGTGAAATATTCATGAATTAAATAAAGCGTAGTCTCTTTACATCTGTTAATGTCGCTTTAGAATAAATAAGACATATACCTTCTGAACATACAAATGCATATTTTTCTTTACACGCAGTAGAGGTCAGCGTTTCATAATTTCCCGTTCTGTTTGGAAATTTGTTGAATAGCATACATAGGACAACAAAACTATCAATATCTAAAAAGTAATGAAGAAAAGATGTCATTAAGTGATAAAAAATTAAGATATGTCATAATGGAATGATAAAAGATGGCATTTTCACAGACCGCTAAAATTTTCCTGGTAAACGAAAGAGGCAAATCTAAATAAAAATTACGCTTTAATGGGGGTCTCATTGGGAGGGGGTCTGATCCTGGATCCCGCTTATTGATTTGTCAGAATCCCGTATCCCGCTTATCATTGTAATTATAGGGCTTGTAATTTCACATGTCCCGCCCGACTTCGTTTCCCGTTTTCACGCAAAATAATTTGACTTTCACTTGTCACGCTTACAAAAAATCGGCCAATCCCGGATCACGCTTACACCCCATGAGACCCACTTTAATTAGCTCTTCGACGTATGTATAAGGATTTAGATCTTCAAATACTTTTGCCTCGAGCATAACTGAATCGCCAAACATTGCATCTGGTACACTAAAATTGGTATCGTTAATGTTATTACGAGAACAGCAAGCATTATAACCTTCAACATACTAAGACTTAAAGAATTGATCCAGTATTTTGTATTCCATTTCATCTCTTCCATTGCAATATGAAGTGTCGCCATGTTGATAATATCAACCAGGTTACCTTTTCTGCAATTTCTCTCATAGTCACTTTTGAAACCAATTTGAAAACTGGTTTTGTTCTGAGAAGCAGTTACTGAAGAATCTGTTAAAAATAAGCAAAATATCAATGAAGGTAAAGTGAGCTTAATTTATTATTTATCATGTCCTAACCGATCACGAAAATTTAATGTATTATTATACCTTACATATATTTCAAACAATTCTATTGGGTAAAACGTTATCACGTGACATGGAATAATTCAGTTAATTTTCATTCAATTGCAAGGAAGAACGAATAACCCTTAAAAATTACACCAGCGTTGAATAACCCTATTATTCACCGGCGAATAACCTTTTTAGTTTGTTGATTTGTACTCATGAAAATGACGTCACAAACGTAAATAAACAAAATGGCAACGTTCAAGTTACAGGAAGCCCATTGATCAAGAGAAGAGGAAATAAGGCTTTTGACGTGCATCTTGTGCCGATGATATCTCTAATAACGGTCCTTTTCAGGGCCATCAATATTTTACAAAAAGAATCTACCTTTGTTGTACATACGAGAATTCTAAGACACAAATTACATGTATTTTTGAACGTCAACTTGTGTTTGTTACTGACTCAAGTAAGGGTAAGTGCTTTTACAATGATTCAAAATGCCCTTCCACTGTTAGTTCGGTATAATAAAACAATTGTGGCCCCTTAGAAGCGATGAATATCCAAAATTGTCAACCCTTATAAGTTATTTCACTTCGGGCTGCGCCCTCAGTGAAATAACCTTCTCGTGTTGACAATTTTGGATATTCACCTTTTCAACGGGCCATAATTGTATATTGTTTGCTTTGTGTCAGTTTCAACGTTAATCGGCGTAAAATGCCCAACATACATATTTGTGTACAAATTGGAATTACTCGTCATAGATATCAGGATTGAGAAAATTTAAGTCTGGCGCGAGACGCGACTTTCGTCAATAAAAGACTGAAAAGTAAAGTTGAAATGATCTCTGGGAAATTTTACGGACCCTGGTCCCAAATACAAATTGGTAGACTGTTTTGGAATATCTGTATCACAGGTGACTATGTTCCAAGTGTCGTCACTACAATTCCGTCTTGCTTTCCTCGATTGTTACATCACCGAATTTATACTTACCATGAACAATATAATGGGTTCCACTAGTAAAACAGGATCTGATTACCTTATCGAAGCACAGGAGTGAACCCCAAGTTTGATGGTGGGGTTCGTGTTGCTCAGTCTTTAGTTTTCTATGTAGTGCTATGTAAAATTGTTTTTCTTTTCGCCGTCTTTCGGTTTTCGCCATGATGGCTTGTCAGTTGTTCCCCGAATTATGAGTTTTTAGTGTCCCCTTGGTGTTTATTTTATACACCTTTTTAGTAATTATATTCTTTCTTAAAACGTCAAAAATTCGTTTATTCTTATTCTTAAATAATATTTTTTTAACAGATAACTATTATTTCAAGTCTGTAAAACTTATAAATTCCTGACTATACACTCACCATGCTGACATAAGCCTAGGTAAGATTCATTCTGTGGAAATTTTTCAATATATAAACCAGGACAAAACCCTGGAAAAAATTACATACCTTTAACACTATAAGACAAAATGATCATCAACATTATAATTGGAATGAGAAAAGAAATTTAAAAAAGATGATAATTAGATTTATGATCATTGCTAGAATGTAATATTTTGTCTTTAAAATTATAAGATTTTATAAATGAAATATGCTTTTAAGTAAAACAAAGCGTGTCGAAACGGGCAAATCTTAATGTTCTTACCGGTACTGCGATTGCATCCTAAATGAAGAACATAATTAGATGTCCATACAGATTTATTAGTTCTGTAGTGGGATTTTAATTCTTGAAGGGCCGACTTCGAAGGTGACAAAATCTTGTTACTTCTATTACATACTCTTCTTGCTTCCTTCCATGATAAAGGCTTCTCAAAACCATCTAAATGATAAATAATCAGAAAAATGTTGGAGTGTACAGTATATATATAGGAATTATACTTTTGATCATTTTAAATAAAAGAAGATATCATTTCAATACCACCACTACTACTGCTATAACTTCTACGACTAAAATATAGAAATAAGAAGATGTGGTATGAGTGCCAATGAGACAACTCTCCATCCAAGTCACACTGTGTATAAAGTAAACAATTATAGGTCAAAGTACGGCCTTCAACACGGAGCCTTGGCTCACACCGAACAGCAAGCTATAACGGGCCCCAAAAAGACTAGTGTAAAAACAATTCAAACAGGAAAACCAACGGTCTAATCTATATAAAAAACGAGAAACGAGAAACACTTAAGAACCACATCAAAAAACGACAACCACTGAAACAGGTTCCTGACAGGTGCAAACAAATGCAGCGAATTTAAACGTTTTAACAGGCGCCAACCTTCACCCTAACCTAAAATAGTAGTGTAACATTACAACATAGAAAGACACACTATAACTTTTACTAAATTGCCAAGCTTGTTTTTCTCATCAGACGGGAATTGTTTTTGCATGGCACAAATAAAAATATTATTTTTTTAGGAAAAGGTGAGTGCCAGATTCTTGTCTTCTTGGTCATTTTTCATGGACAGTTTTCTGTGTATCCATTTAAGTTTTTAAGATGATAATAAAAAATGTAAAATAAAATGGTTTAAATTTTAATTAAGTTCAATAACCACTTCTGTAAGGAGTCTATTAACCATTTCATTCGTTTTACTTATTTGCAGATCTCGTGTTGCTGATAATTTTTGCAGTTCATCTCTCCTGAATTGTATATACTAACGTTTTTAAGATATTCGGGATAAAACACTTAAAATTGGCAAAAAACTTCTTTTAACTCCTATTAAGGATCGACTGACTATTTCGGTTTGTGTACTTAATGGCATATCTTATTTTTCTGATCGCTATCTCTCATAGTTTCCAGCGATAATTTACAAAATGTGCAAAAATCGACATTCAAGGGCAACAACTATAAGAAGTCAACTGGCACTTTCTGTCATTATATTAATTTGTAGATCTTTTTTTGCTTTTCTACAGTATCTATTTTTCTACCTTAGTTTCTATCTACAAAACCTCCAGAATGGCTGTAACTTCTTATGCAAGGACAACAACTCCCATTAGAAATCAACTCACGATTATGACCATGTTGACTTACTTGGTAATCTTAATATTTTGATTATATTTTTTTACACATTCTGTCTATCTTTTAAAGTTACATTTTGTACCAAAACAACAACAAAAAACTTCACAAAGATTGCTAAAAATCATGATTCAAAGCATCAACCCCTAAACGTTGTCAAGTTATGAATTCGGCAAGGTTGACTTATAAGTAGATATTATTATGTTGATTTTTTTGCTGTTTACAGCTTCTCTTTGGTTTTCTTCTTTGGTTTCAGCAGAAAAGTAAAAAAAAAAAGAGTTTAAATCGTCATTAAAGAGCATCATATCTAAAAGGAGTCAACTGACGATTTCGACGATGTTGTAAATCTTATTTTCCTGATCATGTTTGGTTTTCTAAGGATATTTCTAATTTCTTAATTTCCTACAAAACATTATAATGGTCCAACGCCGTTAATAAGGGTAACAACTCATATAAGGCGTCGAATGACATTTTCAGCCATTTAACTTATGTGTAGATCTTATATTGCTGTTCAATTTTTCTGTCTAAGGTTTCTACCTATATATAATAAATTTCAACAAACGAAAAGAGTTCCAATGTCCCCAGCGTTGCACATATTTTATCTGTCCAAGTGCAATAACTAAATAGAAAACTTTTTTTTGTTCTTGAAAACTTTTTATAAACATCAAAGAGAAACGAAGGCTTGAGAGTAATTATGCAATTTTCGATATAACCATCTTTCCAAGGGGCACAACTTGTTAAAAATATTTGATCACCACTTATTTTCGAAATTGTCCGAGACATTGCTGATATAAACCTTTGATATCAATTTGAGAAAAATCTTGTAAAGATTGTACACGTGAGCGCTTAAAATGCAAATGTCCATATAATTAATATTTCCAAGGGGCATAACTATTTTAAAAATAGTTCATCGGCACCGATTTTCGAACTCGTCCGAGACATCGTGATATATTATAAATATATGATACAAGTTTTATAAAAATCTGGCAAGAATTATACATGCGAGAGCGCATACAAGACCGGATGGACGCCCGGTTTGTTTATGTCCCCCACAACGCGTCGCGCGGGGAACAAAAATATACCCAAAACAGCAATAAAAGAGGGACAAAAGATACCAGAAGGACAGTCAAACTCATAGATCGAAAACAAACTGACAACGCAATGGCCAAAAATAAAAAGACAAACAGACAAATAATAGTACAGATGACACAACGTAGAAAACCAAAGACTTCAGCAACACGAACCCCACCAAAAACTGGGGGTGATCTCAGGTGCTCCGGAAGGGTAAGCAGATCCTGCTCCACATGTGGCACCCGTCGTGTTGCTTATGTTATTACAAATCCGGTAAATAGTCTAATTCGGTAAGTCACATTCGTGAAAAGGGAGGGTATTGTAGTTACGACATAAGGAACATATCCGATATCATCTGTGAAACGGTTATTCCATAACGGTCAACCAACTCGTGATGGCGTCCGTATAATTTACGAAGGGATGATTTCAACTTCACCATTTGGAACTCTTGGTTTAATAGCTTCCTTGTGAGCAGCAATCCTCTATCAAGGAAATCGTGATAGGAAACACAAGCCCGGGAATATCGTATCAATTGGGAGATATATACTCCGAATGCAGGCGCTGCTGGAATATTGCTACATAGAAATGGAAAGTTCACAATTGGGAAGCTGAAATCATCTCTTTTGTCGTAAAGTTTTGTTTTCAACCGACCCTCATTGTCAATTTCTAGATGTAAGTCAAGATATGAGACAGACTTAACTGTATCTGTAGTTTCCTTTATCTCTAGTTCGATGGGATAGATTCGTTCAACATAATCACCAAATTTTGTATTATTTAGTGAGAGAACATCATCTATATAGCGGAACGTAGAGTTAAAGGATATTGCTAACTTCTTATCTTTCTTCCTAAGAAGTTCCTGTATGAAGTCATCCTCATAATAATAAAGAAACAAGTCGGCAAGAAGAGGGGCACAATTAGTTCTTATCAGATGACAATGCACTACAATAATCAAATAGTAAAATCTATTCATTCGTTTGGAATGATATACCTTACACGGAATATCGGGATCTTGTATATCAAGAATCCGCGAAAGAAACTTAATAAAATTAAATTAAGAAACCATTGATTTAAAATTGACTTGAGTATTAAGAAGATTATTTAGTCAAACAAATTGTAAGTGGATAAAACTGTTTATATTACGCAAAAAAGAAATTTTACAGAGTTGGCTTTTTCGGCACAATCAAAAAATCAAACAACCAATTTTTAAAGTTTTTTATGCCTAGAAAAATATGTCAAGACTTGGACATCCTTTTCATTTTGAGGAAATCATTGCTGCATCTATATGGAATAATAAGCACATTAAAATTTATGATTTTACCGCTTATTGTAGAAATTGGGCACGCAATAGGGTACATTGTAAGTGCTGTAAATCACCTGTTAGATGAGCAAGGAAATTTATTGTCCTATCAAAATTTTGAAAGAATATACATTTACAAATCCATACTTTTACAGTTTTATGGGATAAAAATAGCATTAAAAAAGTGTTTGCAATCAATAGAAATTTACACTTAAAGGTGAAAAAAAAAAACTCTTTTGCCATTCAATATTTACATTTCTACAAGTAAGAAAAAAGATCAATAGACATGTATATTATTTCATCCAAGTTTCAATACCTGTCTGTCAAGTTCATTTTGCAGCTGAACGAAAATGGGAGAGTATATTGAATAATGTTGTGGGAGTTTGATAAAAAACACTTCTTGTGTTACTAACTTTAAAAAATTGGTCTGATAGCTCCTCACCTTTTCAAGCACTTGTGCATATTTTACTTCAAATTTTGGCCCTGAGCGTTTCTGAAGAAGCGTTTAGAACGCAACTAATAAGTAATTCATAACGTACTGGGTCAATACCACGGCTGTTAGACTGCTGGTTCTGGAGTGTATCATCTGTTATTCAGCTCTGTCGTCAGTGCTTCGGTTTAAACTTGATTTACAAGATATTTTTTCTCTTAATTCTTGTTTAATCAAAAAAGATATTAATAAGAATATACGGTCCAAAACTCCATCGGGCAAATATAACGTTTTATCCTACAATCAGCCAACTTTTGTACAAATAACATGTACACAAATACATTTTTGCCTCATTTGTACTTGACATTGACCTAATTTTGTATATATATTGATTTGAATATTCTTTTTAGCCCTTTTTGGTCATATAGCTTCTCATATTTTAAGTACTTATATATTCTTGGATTTGCGTATTCCTAATAAAGGTAAACTAACAAAATCGCTTTGGAAGCAACTTATTTATGACGATGATAATGGTTGATGGCTTTTTAATATCCAGGGCAAAGTAAATGCATATTCAGGACGAGAACATGTTTTAAATACGATATGCATAAATCCTGCTATGTACTAGACCTTCACGCTGAGAAAGATTTTTAACGCGCTATCGGAGAAGCAGCAAATACCAGCTTTAAAGTCTTTAAAAACCCTATTGAAAACATTAACTGGGTCTGCCATATTGTAGCAGACATTTGGCACCTTCTGAATTCTTTGATTTTTTACAGCGAACATTTTGAAATTCAATTAAATGTGGATATTGTTATTATTCGACTCTATGATAATTTTATTAAAAAAAATATCATTCTAATGACAAAGTACTTAACCTAATTATCTAAGATGCAAGACGAAAACCTAATATTGAAGGACTTAAAAAATACATAAAAGAAATGAGAGTATTGTCTATTATCTTGAAAAAAAAAAATATAACAACATATCTATTCAGTTTTTACGAAATTTCTCAGAAGACTCTTCAATGGAGTTTATGCTCTTAAATGATGATTTTAACTTTTTATTGTAAGTTTTTTTCTGCCTGGATTGTCAGGCCTTCACATATAATTGTCTATAGGGGCTAATAATCAAGTATGTGAAAAATTTGCATAATCAAGCAAGTGAAATAAATAAACATATGATATAATAGTATGTACGACATATGATGAATGGAGAAAAAAGAACACGGACGCAGACTGGAAGCATCGCTGGAAATTCATAAACAGCGATACCACGTAAGTTGACAGGATAAGCGTCTCCAGCTATGCATGCATATCCTTGCGAATCAACAATAAGTCAAAGTGTCAAAATAAGAAATATGACAAAATCGGTAACTTAATTTTTCCTGAAAAAAAGAGCCTGTTGTTATGATTGTCATGTAATGGAAAAAAGAAAGATTTTGATTTTATCATTGATAACATAAATTCACCAAACGCACTATTTAAAAAAAGAAAAAGGAAAGGAACCGTTCCTTTATCGCGGTTCTACATTTGTTGGCTCCTAGCACTTATTTATACATTCCTGAAACAAAATCAACAAACGCACTATTAGAAAGAAAAGCAAATGAACCGCTCCTTTATTACGGTTCTACATTATTTTGTTAACCTTCAACTAGATCAAACCTGACACCTCATTATTTAAACAAAAAGAAGATGTGGTATCATACCAATGTGCTAATGAGGCAACTCTCCACAAGAGACCAAATGACACAGAAATTAACAACTATAGGTCACCGTACGTCCTTCAACAATGAGTAAAACCCATACTGCATCGTCAGCTATTAAAGGCCCCGAAATAACAAATGTAAAACAATTCAAACGAGAAATGTAACGGCCTGATTTATGTACAAAATAATGAACGAAAAACAAATATGATATAAAGCAAAAAACGACAACCACTGAATTACAGGCTCCTGACTTAGGTAGCAATACACAGTTAGAAGTTTAGTTTCGCATTTTGGCCATGAATTTTTAAATATGAAAGTTTTTGTACAATAAAATTGATTTTTAGATTGTTGAAGAAAAATATAGCCTTCCAAGTGGGTTTATATGAACCTCTAGTGTTTTTAGCGTTTTATAGGCAACTTTTTTGTTTGACAATCCGTATTTTCACATCCGTACCGCCCATTGGTCCAGAAATTATTGTAGTGTTTATCAACAAAGATTTGACCCTCGATCTTTTCAATTCAATTTTATGGAAAAACGAGCAGAAATGCATATGATTTTTTTTTGAACCTCTTGATAGATAAATGTCTATGGTTTCAGGAAAGGTATCAATCTAATGGATTGAAATTCTCCTTTGGACCAAATTTTGGAGACTTTAGTGACATATTCACCCCCCTTTTTGCAATATTTTGTATCAAATACATGCAGATTGTTGCCATGATTACACCAAAAAGAGATTATATTTCAAAATTATAACTATTGAAAATCAAATCTATGGAAGATGCTCTTTCCATAAATATACACATGCATAACACAAATATAAACCCTTATTTGTTAGAAGGGAAGGAAAAGATGGTGGTGAAAAATTATGAGTGTCAATCTTAAGTTTTTTTCCTACCTTAGGACAGGCACATACAGAATGTGGCAGGGTTAAACTACTTTGTTGGCGCCAACCCTCCCCTAACCTGGAATAGGGGTGCAACGGCATTGCATGCTGACAACGGCTCCTATCACTCGTTTTAACTAAAGCATTTGCTTGTATCCGATCACGCTACATCTGTGCAATGACGAACAGATACGGGGTAATATCAATACAGTAAATTGGGGCAAAGAAATTTATACATCAGTAGATTTGTAATACATGTATAAATTGATTCTGTAGTTTGTCCACATGCAAGAAAATATAATAAAATGTACTTACCTACAATTGATACAAAATTGTAAAAAACAATAAAAATGAACACAAAATTAAAAGAGGACATGTTTTTATCAATGTATGTGAATATTTAGTGTTTCCTATTAACCGGACGGATATAAACCATAAATTAGATTCAACAAAATCATACAATACAATTGACTATAGCACTTCCTGTGAAAAAAAATGAATTAGAATCAAACGCAAAATAATTTGCTGAAATTTTTTGGTATTGGAATTTCCAATTACAGCTAAAAATAAAATGAATAAACTAACATTATTATTTGTTTCTCGTTAATACAATTTTGGAGGTTGTAATTTCAGAAGGGCACGTGAATTGTGACACGAAACGATCGATGGACGAAAAAAATAGTGTTGATCTAAATTTGTTTGATGTTTGATAACCGCGTCAAATCTGCACTTCATTTGCGCCTATTTTTTTATATGCGCAATTTTTTTCTTCATTTGCACCAATTAACAGGTAAACACAAGTCATGAGACATAGGAGATGTATAGAACTTATTGATAAAATAACAAAAATATCCCTACTGGCCTTCTGCCATCTGCCCCTTGCTAACCCGTGACGAGGAGGAGGAAGTGTAATTTTGAGCAGGATAAATTTATTGCAAAAGTTCTAAAACTGTATACATCACACTTAAAATAGCAATTTATAAAATAAGATAGTAACAGTTTGACATCAAAAGCAAATTTGCATATTTACAAGTCTTTCCTAACTGAGTATTGTCATGCACCACTTCTGTTGAACTGCGACCTTGTGATATCTTCTCTACAATATATCATATGCTTTTTATTATAAAAAAAGTCCTTATTTTCCCTTTTCATGTTATGTTACGGTTGCTGCCACGTTGAGAGATCTGATTATCATGTTTACATATATTAAATTAATGCCTGGATTTTCTTTATGACATCCATAAATTAAAGTAAATGTTCGGGTAACAGAAGTGTTTTATAATTAAATCAATGAGCTCAACATGTATCTATATACATGTATCTCTAACATAGACATGTACTCATCGAACTGCTGCGTTTGGTTAACCTTAGTAAATGTAATTATCTAAAATGTATCAGATCTAACCTGTTCGAATTAATTTGGCGCAAATAAAAAAATTGATAATTGGCGCAAATGAAAAATAAATATGATATTTCGATATTTTCAAAATTGGCGCAAATGATATACGCACATAATTTACCGATCACACTTAATTGGTTAGATTAAAAATAATATGATATTTAGATTTAAAAGCACCTCAGGAAATTGATTGATTGTTGTTTGCCATCAGTTCAGCGGCAAATATTTCAGCCAAGTTCCGGGAGAGACCTAAACAATTAATACAATAGGGATATAATGTTCCTGTAATCGGTCAATCGGAGTGAAGTGAGATAAATACGGAAATTTGGACTGCCACTTGCTAATAGTTTGTTTGGATATCTCTTTGGAATCGTCCCCCTTTTTTGGATTGACAAGAACTTTAGTCTTGCCAGAGGCGGCCTCCGGATACCTCAACGATTTATTGTTAGGGTTCTCTAATTGCGGAGTTCATTGCACTCTCTCTACTCGAAGCTAATGATTAGACGTATCCCTTATTTAACGTGGATACGTATGTATACATCCTGTACAGCAAAAAGGACCCCCCCCCCCCCCTTTTTGGAAACAATTTTACCAGCAAATTTGAAAATGCCGATTATTTTACTTTAATTTGGACACGTATACTTACCGACTTTAGAAACGCAACAATAGATTATTCTTTTTAAATTTTTGAATGAATGTGGCACCGTCAAAAGCAATGACTGCCTGTAACAAACGCCAAAATGATTGTCAGAAAGATCAACCAATTCTGTTCCATATGTTTTGGGTTCTGTTTTACTCCTTCTGAATATGCGTTTGTTCCACCCATTACAATGGGTTTTGGCAATTATGCGTGGAAACTTCAGGGCTTTAAAAGTTTTTCTTCAGTCGATTCTTTGGCAGTTCAGTTTATGGGAAACGTTTATGGCATGAATCTGTGCGCAATGACATTCGGCAATTTGATAAGCAGTTGATGTTGCAGCCGTAAACATACCTCGCAAATGACGTTGCGTAATCAAATTCTATTGACGTTGCATTGTCACTACATGTTGATCTGGTCATTGATGGTCAGTAACAAATCCCGTCTACCTGTATCGTTGTCGGAAGGACAGTAAGACGAGTTTCTGAAATCAAACTGTATGGTTGCAGCACGTTCACGTTTTCCTGTTTGCAGTATTCTTATGGGCTGATTCAGTTTTTTATTCCTCAGTCTTAGCAATACGGAGATGCAACATTTTTAACTGATTTAAGTGTGGCCAAGGATTGAAAGAACTGTTTCACGAAGCAAAACAAACTGGAAAAATCTTTTATGGGTTCCAAATTTCGCTTTAAGAAATTCGTGCGACTTCAAAAATCCGGTATGTTCAATAACAACAGGTAACTCAGATGTTTATTTTTTCTTCAGAGAAAGAAGTATGGTAAGCATTAATAGTAGTTGTATGAGAATCAAACATGATGTGGGGAAAAAAATCAACAAAATGAGTGTTGCGTTTTTAAAGTCAGTCAGTATATGTATACATCCCGTACAGCCAAAAGAATATCCCCTTTGGAAATATTTTTACCAGCAAATTTGAAAAACCCCGAGTATTCTAACTTTAATTTGGACTTTACCGTTTACAGATGGAAACCTGCATTTCAGCGTTAGGTAACAGTAACCTAAAATAAGACATCTCATGGATTTGAATAGAATCAAGAAACTAAAACAAATGAAACTGTTTATGAATATCGTAAAATTATATTTGTAATGTTTATACTTTTCGATGCAAAAGGAATTAGAATAGTTGAGTTTAAAATTATATTATCGGTATCATTTAAGTAGGTGCTTCTACATGAATTAAATGATCGAATATATATAAGCAAGGAGTAGTTATTGCCAGATACTGTTTATAGACTGCATATTGGAGTACTGTATTGTATTGTATCATATCCGACGGTAAGCATAAATTTACAGATACAACCATTTCACTCCCTAAAATTTAGAACGTATGTAAAAGTAGCCCTACTCTGACAAAAAATAGTGCTTTTGGTGTCATTGTTTACTTTAACTAACCAAAAAAATTCCAAAAATGAACTTTTGGTGAAATAAAAATAAATATATATATAGACTATTTTGAGCTAAAAGTTACTTGTCTATGAGTTTGTATCTAAAATTATGGATTAATGCGCTCCTTAGATTCCAGAAAACATAGGGACTTAGCTTCCTAAAGGCAGTTAATAAACGGTATATAGGAGTACTATATGGTATGTTAACCACCGACGGTAGGTATAGAAAAATACTGTTGATAGACTGTGTAATGGAGCACTGTATTGTATGTTAACCACCGACGGTAGGTATAGACAATTACTGTTGATATACGGTATATAGGAGTACTATATTGTATGTTAACCACCGACGGTAGGTATAGACATATACTGTTGATAGACGGTATATAGGAGAACTATATGGTATGTTAACAACCGACGGTAGGTATAGAAAAATACTGTTGATAGTCTGTGTAATGGAGCACTGTATTGTATGTTAACCACCGACGGTAAGTAAAGACAATTACTGTTGATATACGGTATATAGGAGTACTATATTGTATGTTAACCACCGACGGTAGGTATAGACATATACTGTTGATATACGGTATATAGGAGAACTATATGGTATGTTAACCACCGACGGTAGGTATAGAAAAATACTGTTGATAGACTGTAATGGAGCACTGTATTGTATGTTAACCGCCGACGGTAGGTATAGGCAATTACTGTTGATATACGGTATATAGGAGTACTATATTGTATGTTAACCACCGACGGTAGGTATAGACATATACTGTTGATAGACGGTATATAGGAGTACTATATGGTATGTTAACCACCGACGGTAAGTATAGAAAAATACTGTTGATAGACTGTGTAATGGAGCACTGTATTGTATGTTAAGCACCCACGGTAGGTATAGACAATTACTGTTGATATACGGTATATAGGAGTACTATATTGTATGTTAACCACCGACGGTAGGTATAGACATATACTGTTGATAGACGGTATATAGGAGTACTATATGGTATGTTAACCACCGACGGTAGGTATAGAAAAATACTGTTGATAGACTGTGTAATAGAGCACTGTATTGTATGTTAACCACCGACGGTAGGTATAGACAATTACTGTTGATATACGGTATATAGGAGTACTATATTGTATGTTAACCACCGACGGTAGGTATAGATATATACTGTTGATAGACGGTATATAGGAGTACTATATGGTATGTTAACCACCGACGGTAGGTATAGAAAAATACTGTTGACAGACTGTGTAATGGAGCACTGTATTGTATGTTAACCACCGACGGTAGGTATAGACAATTACTGTTGATATACGGTATATAGGAGTACTATATTGTACTATGTTAACCACCGACGGTAGGTATAGACATATACTGTTGATATACGGTATATAGGAGTACTATATGGTATGTTAACCATCGACGGTAGGTATAGAAAAATACTGTTGATAGACTGTGTAATGGAGCACTGTATTGTATGTTAACCACCGACGGTAGGTATAGACAATTACTGTTGATATACGGTATATAGGAGTACTATATTGTATGTTAACCACCGACGGTAGGTATAGACATATACTGTTGATAGACGGTATATAGGAGTACTATATGGTATGTTAACCACCGACGGTAGGTATAGAAAAATACTGTTGATAGACTGTGTAATGGAGCACTGTATTGTATGTTAACCACCCACGGTAGATATAGACAATTACTGTTGATATACGGTATATAGGAGTACTATATTGTATGTTAACCCCGACGGTAGGTATAGACATATACTGTGGATAGACGGTATATAGGAGTACTATATGGTATGTTAACCACCGACGGTAGGTATAGAAAAATACTATTGATAGATAGTGCATATGAGTACTGTATTATATGGTTACCACATAGGGTGTTTGGATATGACGGTATACTCTATAGAGACTGAAGATACAAGTACTTTTATATATGGTAACCAC